TTTCCCCAAATTTCCCCCCAAAAACCCCCCAAATCCCCCAAATTTTTTGCCGCTCACGTTGTTTTTGGCGTTGGGTTTCATGGTGATGGTGCCGAAGATTTCCTCGCCGCTCTTCACCGTCAGGTATTCCTCCATGTAGAAAACCGTCTGCTTCCAGTGTGTGTACGGGGATTCGGGGCCTGGAAATCCCAAAATCACCCCAAAATTACCCCCAAAAATGGGAAAATCCATCCTGCTTTTTATCCCAAATTTTTAGCATTTTATTCTGATTTTTTACCAATTTTTTAGCATTTTATTCTGATTTTTTACCAATTTTTTAGCATTTTTTTTCTGATTTTTTACGTATTTTTCCCCATTTTTTCTGATTTTTTACCAATTTATTTCTGATTTTTTACTCATTTTTAACCTATTTTTTACCCCATTTTTCAGCATTTTTTACCAATTTTTAATTGATTTTTTTACCCAATTTTTCCCCCATTTTTTAATTATTTTTTTCCTTTTTTTTCTATTTTTTTCCCCTATTTTTCCCTCCATGTAGAAAACCGTCTGCTTCCAGTGTGTGTACGGGGATTCGGGGCCTGGAAATCCCAAAATCACCCCAAAATCAGCCCCAAATCCAGCCTGATTTTTATCCCCATTTTTTAGCATTTTATTCTGATTTTTTACCAATTTTTTAGCATTTTTTTCTGATTTTTTCCCCTAATTTTTACCTATTTTTTCTGATTTTTTCACCTATTTTTCCTTTTTTTTTCCCATTTTTTAACCATTCTTCCCTATTTTTTTCCTCCATGTAGAAAACCGTCTGCTTCCAGTGTGTGTACGGGGATTCGGGGCCTGGAAATCCCAAAATCACCCCAAAATTACCCCCAAAAATGGGAAAATCCATCCTGCTTTTTATCCCAATTTTTTAGCATTTTATTCTGATTTTTTCCCTAATTTTTCCCCATTTTTTTCTGATTTTTTACCCATTTATTTCTGATTTTTTACTCATTTTTTAACCTATTTTTTACCCCATTTTTCAGCATTTTTTACCAATTTTTAATTGATTTTTTTACCCAATTTTTCCCCCATTTTTTAATTATTTTTTTCCTTTTTTTTCTATTTTTTTCCCCTATTTTTCCCTCCATGTAGAAAACCGTCTGCTTCCAGTGTGTGTACGGGGATTCGGGGCCTGGAAATCCCAAAATCACCCCAAAATCAGCCCCAAATCCAGCCTGATTTTTATCCCCATTTTTTAGCATTTTATTCTGATTTTTTACCAATTTTTTAGCATTTTATTCTGATTTTTTACCAATTTTTTAGCATTTTTTTTCTGATTTTTTACGTATTTTTCCCCATTTTTTCTGATTTTTTACCAATTTATTTCTGATTTTTTACTCATTTTTAACCTATTTTTTACCCCATTTTTCAGCATTTTTTACCCATTTTTAATCGATTTTTCCCCTAATTTTTTTCCCAATTTTTAATTACTTTTTCCCATTTTTTTAACCATTTTTCCCTATTTTTTTCCTCCATGTAGAAAACCGTCTGCTTCCAGTGTGTGTACGGGGATTCGGGGCCTGGAAATCCCAAAATCACCCCAAAATCAGCCCCAAATCCAGCCTGATTTTTATCCCCATTTTTTAGCATTTTATTCTGATTTTTTACCAATTTTTTAGCATTTTTTCTGATTTTTTCCCCTAATTTTTACCTATTTTTTCTGATTTTTTCACCTATTTTTCCCCATTTTTTTCTGATTTTTTTACCCATTTATTCCCCTTTTTTCCCCCATTTTTTTCAGCTTTTTGAACCCATTTATAATCATTTTTCCCCCTTCTTTTTAACAATTTTTTATCCATTTTTTACCTTTTTTTCAGCATTTTTTACCCATTTTTAAATCCATTTTTCCCTTACTTTTAAGCTTTTTTTCCCTCATTTTTTAATCTTTTTCCTCCAAGTTTTTTGCTATTTTTTCCTGGTTTTTCCCCCACTCTGCAGTTGTTTTTCCATTTAAATACCAAAAAAAAACCCCCAAAAAATACCAAAATTGCCCAAAAAATTCTGAAAAAAGCCCAAAAATCCAGAATTCCCAAATTGCCCAAAATTGGGAGAATTTGCCCCAAATTCCAGCTGGAGAAGCCGCTGGGATTGTGAGAAGTGGGACCAAAAATCCACCGGAAAATCTCAAAAAAATCACAAAAAAACCCCAAAAATGCCCAAAAAACACCCAAAAAAAGCCAGAAAAATTCCGAAAAATTCCCAAAATTCCCAAATTGCCCAAAATCGCGGGAATTTGCCCCAAATTCCTGGTGGAGAAGCCGCGCCTCTTGTGGCAGCGCGTGAACTCGATGTTGAAGTGGGGCCTGAAACCCACTGGAAAATCACCCAAAAAAAGCCCCGAAAAATTCTGAAAAAAATCCAAAAAAAATTCTGAAAAAAGCCCAAAAATCCAGAATTCCCAAATTGCCCAAAATTGGGAGAATTTGCCCCAAATTCCAGCTGGAGAAGCCGCTGGGATTGTGAGAAGTGGGACCAAAAATCCACCGGAAAATCTCAAAAAACGCCCAAAAAACCTTAAAAAAACCCCAAAAAACACCCAAAAAAAGCCAGAAAAAATCCGAAAAAAATCCCCAAAATCCCAAATTGCCCAAAATTGCCGGAATTTGCCCCGAATTACTGGTGGAGAAGCCGGTCCTCTTGTGGCAGCGCGTGAACTCGATGTTGAAGTAGGCCACCAGCGCGTGCACGTAATCGTTGCGCTTCACCTGCAGGCAGAAGGGCGCCGTGAACGTCAGCTCCTCCACCTTCACCGTGTAGATGTCGACTTCCTGGGGAGAAAAAGGGGGAAATTGGGAAAAAATGCTGAAAAAAAGTGAAAAAATGGTGAAAAAATGTAGAAAATAAGCCGGTCCTCTTGTGGCAGCGCGTGAACTCGATGTTGAAGTAGGCCACCAGCGCGTGCACGTAATCGTTGCGCTTCACCTGCAGGCAGAAGGGCGCCGTGAACGTCAGCTCCTCCACCTTCACCGTGTAGATGTCGACTTCCTGGGGAGAAAAAGGGGGAAATTGGGAAAAAATGCTGAAAAAAAGTGAAAAAATGGTGAAAATTGGTGAAAAAATGAAGAAAATCGGGTTAAAAATGGCCTAAAAATGGAGAAAATTGGGTTAAAATGACCTAAAATTTATCACAACCCCAGCTCCTCCACCTTCACCGTGTAGATGTCGACTTCCTGGGGAGAAAAAGGGGAAAATTGGGAAAATTTGGGGGGAAAAAGTGAAAAAATGGGAAAAATCGGTGAAAAAATGGGGAAAATCGGTCAAAAAATGGCCTAAAAATGGAGAAAATTGGATGAGAATCGACCCCAAGCTCAGCTCCTCCCCCTTCACTGTGGAGATGTCGACTTCCTGGGGAGAAAAATGGAAAAATTGGGAAAATTTGGGGGGAAAAAAGTGAAAAAATGGGAAAAAACGGTCAAGAAATGGAGGAAATCGGTGAAAAAATGGCCTAAAAATGGAGAAA